GAAATATGGTCACTGCTTGTTCTCTGGCAACCTTACTCATGCGTCCAAGTGGAAGTTCATGCATGCTATTCAAGCGCATTTCCTGATGTTCAGCGGTCTTATGCCGCACAACAGCATCGACTTGACAGAGGCTAGGTAGAGGTGGACTTTTATGGAAATGGCTAAAGCTATAACCATATAATTTTTAACCCAATTACTGTACAAGTTATCGAAAGCAATGCAAGCGAGAAAGTACCTCCTGGTGTTCCAATTTAACTCTGATTGAATGACGCTATCGCTGGAGATTATGGAGCTAATATATGTTTGCTGGACATTCACCGCTTACTCTTACCTCTCGATTTTGCGCCGTTGACGAAGAGGCTACCTTTCACAGTTGTGTTGCCTGTGAAAGCTGTAATGCAAGCCGCTTCGGCGACAATATTATTTTCTCGCACCATGTGAACAAGGCTGCTCTCCATTTGGAATATCCCATGCTGAATCAAATGCAACCGTAAAGTCAAAGAAAGTGACAAACCAAGGCGACTTGAGCAGTTCTTAGCTATTCTAACAAGAGTGACCGTTTGGCCAGCACAGGAGTCAAGACGACTGCATGATTTCACCGATTTGTCCTCACATAATTCAAGAGAAATATTTTGTACGGTTCTGTAACACGATACCAATGTGGTTAATATGTCATATCATAAAATATTACTAATGGAAAGAATTTATTTTTTCTGACTAACTGGAATGCGGTACAGTTGTCTTGCCATCCACTGCCAACGTCTTGTTTCCTGATCATTCACAAAATTTTTCGATCATATCGTTTGTATGAAAATTTTATTTATTGCAAGGTGAACAAACCAGCACCGGTTTCGTGTATGCAGTGCATGTGCTGAAGTGTTTATGTCTATAGTTCTATGCATGCCTTTTTGACTGTAGTCTTCATGGAGTAGAAGCTGCAACACGCAGCCATGAAATAACGATGTAGAAAATACATCTGAGCATAGGTATTTTAAAAATTTCCTGTGAACAATGGTTTCTCGGTCTCTTCGTTGCGACACATGGTCTTACAAAGATCTTTCATATTTTCATCATTGATGGAGCGATCTTCTTCTTTCATAAATTCCAATACAGCAATTACAGTAACGCTGTGAAATTTTAAGTGACGAGCATAAACGAGAATGTTCACAGAGTCACTCAACACATAACTCCTCAAAGACGAGGTTTCGTCAAGTATTGCATTGTTTTTTCCTCCAAGTTGACGGCACGGTCGTTTGAACAGTCCACACTATTTGAATGCCTGTAGCACAAGACGTATTTCGCATCGTTTTGTTCTCTGCTACCCGAAAGGCACCCATTTGGTAAATTGTTAATATTTATGTTTTTTTTCACAATCTTCCATCCGACATATGAGTGAAGTTTGTCTCGGTTCTCTGCTCTCTACCTCCACCTCTGACCAATTAATTTGACCAACACAACGGATCGTATTGCATGGTTCATCGTTATGTAGTGGC